TTTGATTTGAAGGCCCGATCCGTAGCGCAGCTTGGTGACCTCATATTACTTATCGTTTATGCTATTTTCAAAAACTTCTTTCATGATTTCGCGGGTAAAGCGTAGTATATGAGACTCCACCGATACCACAGTTCCACCTCTCTTTCCAACACTGCTCCTGTATACATAGTTATCTACAGTTGGCCACAAAAAACCCAGCCAGTAAAGTTTTTGTTGTCTTATGGGATACGGGACTGTTCCCACTTGTCGTTCCCACCGCTGCAACACCTGTGCAGCCAGGATCTACAGCTTGACCTCCAATAAAGACCCAACCGGTGAATCTTATGGGATAGTGTTTAGTTAACATTTAATGTGATCTAAATGACATTATTTCATATTTAAATTACAGGAATTCGTCAAATGCCTCTTCCTAAGCGGCCAAACAGAACTGCAAAGCCGTCACCACGACGCCTCTGAGAGGGAGGACAGAGAGACCAACTTTGCTACCGTGAACAAGTTTAAAGTCAACGTCATGGCCAACTCGGCATGCGTCGACTTGCTAGTGTGGGCTATTGGGGATGAGACAGGTAAATTATCTTGATAACGTTCGTTCGTTTCAGCCAAATGAAGTCCACTGCTGGACAAAGGCCTCCCCCAAGGTTTTCCATAATGAACGGTCCTGCGCTGCCCGCATCCAGGCTCTTCCCGCGACCTTTACCAGATCGTCGGTCCACCTAGTAGGAGGCCTGCCCACGCTACGTCTTCTAGTGTTGATAACGTTACTTGGAATTAAACATAATTTGACATATTCAAAGAACGAGGGTTTCCCTTTCGCGTTAACCAGTTGGCGTCGCGTCATTAAAGTTTTGTCACTTTTTGAGAAGTTAGCGGCGCCAATTAGTGAGCTCAATAAAGAAACCCTCATTGAATAACGTTTCATAAGGCTCATATTAGCCTAATGATTTAAATTACTTCTGCATTTAATAATATTATCAAGCTATTAATTACTTCTGACATAATATAAAATGTACCTGCCTGATAAGAAAGGGGCTGATTTTAATCTTAAATTGAAATGTATTACAACTGTGTAGGTTTTCCTCAACAAAAAAAAATATTTTATTTGTATTACATATTTATTTTTATCACATTTATTTAATTATTCGATGACATTATACTTAGTAAAAGTTTACGATTTTATGATATTGACGTAATGTTTTTTATTTTATTTTATTTGAATAGTATAATGTCGTCGAAATGACGTATGTATTTATTTAATATTTATTATGGTTTTGCAGTGGATGAGGACTATGACGTGCCAGCACTTATAAACGCTCTAACAATATTAATAGGTATCTCTGCGTGCGTTTGAGTTTCCCCTTTTGCTAACAAATAACATACTCTAATGATCTGTGTATGAGGTCGAATTTAGGTTATGAAGCGTGGTTTGAATGAATGTTTAGAGATATAATTATATTTGACATTATAAATGCACGTCTTCATCTCTCACACACCTCGGCATACAGAGGGAAAGACACAATAGTTTTGAATAGGCGCCTCATTAATTGAATGAAGAAATATTACGCAATTATTTTAAAATTTGTAAAATGTCCATACTAAAATTAATAACATGCATGCATATTGTTTCCTAAACATGAATCTAAATATTAAAATTAGTGTATTCATTTATTTATAGTAATTTGATGAGGTTTATTTGTACAATATGAGAATATTTATGTAATTTACGCGCGGAATCAGCTCATACAGTTTGAACAAAAAGACAATGCAATGAGGTCTAAAATACAATTATCTGTTTTGACTTCTGATGTTAGATTGTGCAGATAGTCCTAAAAAGTGTGCTATATCAGCTTCAATAACAACTAAATATTGAAACCATAATCATACCATCTATGGTGATAAAAGCAGTTCCCACATTCTTTTGTTTTTACCTGGTGTTTTTGTCACACGAACGTAAGAAAACGGTAATAATATAAAATTTACAATTTGATCTCTTCTGGCCTCCAACCCGTCTGACCAAGGTGGGGAGTGTAGGAATAATTATCTATTTGCCTCATATACAGGGTGTGTATTTCAATCCACAAAAAAAAACTAACAAACTAAAGTGGAATTTTTAGCGAATATTTTCCATGCCATGCCCATTAGGTAAACCCTGTATTATGTGTTTGCCTTGCCGTTTTATCACGTATGTATGACTCAAAACAAAGTCAGTTTGCATCTATTTGAATGTATGAATTAACGTTTTAGGTGCGGATTCTCTCTGCGGACGCTTGACGGAGAAGATAAACTCCAACCACAACCACAAACTCATACTGGCTCACATGCCTCTACTGATGGTTTGTTTGGAAGTAAGTATCTTTTTTCTCTATACAAAATAAGCTGTTGTTTTGCTAAAATAAGCCTATGTCAATAACTTACTCGCGTTCTGAAACGCCAAATTCTCATGTATATTTCTAACAAAAGTCATACATAGTTCTCATTCGCATTTTTCCTTCCTAAAGTTAAAACAGTTCAAAAATAGCTTTCCAGTGGATGCTGACATAAATTACTGAATAAGCGCGTGGAATGCTAAAACCTACTCTAGACTGCACCAGGTGCGATTGCGGTCAAATACCTGCCTTGTCATGCATAAAATAAATGTATTGAGTATTGAAAAAAAACTGAACCGATTTAGATGAAATTTTGTAGGCAGAAAGTTTGAGACCCAGGTAAAAACAATCAGTAGCTTTTGTTCCCGTTTCCCGGCGAAAAAGATTTCTTTCTGAAATTTTTTTTTTTACACATTTTGGATTTGTGAGAATTATGCGTGCAAATGTAGTTACTTCAGAAACATCACTCACCAAAAGGGCTGACTAATATTGATACCGATTATTGTTAATTTCAGGGTCTAGGCAAACTAGCAACCAAATTCCCGACTATCGCGAACACCTCAATCTACTGCTTGCGAGATTTCCTTGTAACACCCTCCCCGATCCTGTTTAAGCTGCACAAGTTGGAGCTGGAGAAAACTGGCAAGGAACACATGAAGGTCACTTGTAAGTGATACCACAGAATAATAATAAGTACTACGTAGGTAGGTACAGAAGTTTTACTTTGCGAAGGTATTTAAAAAAATGTATGCTCAATGTCATTAACAATATGGTGTAATTTAGCTTGTCTCAAGAGTCAAGCACCATTTTGTTGACAAACGTCAGTGATCGGTACTGCGCCGAAGCTATAGGGCAGACTTCGGTAAAATGATGTGACGTGAGGTGCCAAACTGCAGAAAATGGCGGAGGAAATACATGATTTACCATGAATTATCATGAATAATATTAACTACTTATTTACCTCTCAGTGTCTTGAGGCAATTTAAAAAAGTACATTCTGTGTTTTTATTATTACTTAGGCAGTTAAATTATCTTTATTTTTTTCCATCATACACAAGAATACGCGTGCGTGAGTCAATGTTCGTTCGTATGTGAGGCCTTGTCGAATAGTACTCCTGTAGGGGGACATCGTGCGTGTTTTGTTTTCGATGTAAACTCGCGGAGATGAACAGGCCTGGTGATACAGGTTTATACTACAACGACGTGAGGCTTAACCCTTAGACAGTAGAGTTGGTATGATTTGAGCAAGTAAACAAATGTTCGAGATTCAAGAACTATTGGCTTTCAACTTACAAATATAATAATAATTATTATGTTATAGGTCTAGCGCTTAACTCAGATAATGCCTGAGGCATGGGAGCGGCATTGGAGGGGTGACATTGATTGACATTTTATGACGTGTCAGAGCAAACAAATCTGAAGCATATTTGAAGTCTCGCTGACGTTTGACGTCCTAAAAACACTTCCCGTGCCGCTCCCATTCCTCAGGCACTGACTGAGTTAAGCGCTAGACCTATAGATGCCTGTGCCGGCTCCTCAAGAAGTCTGATGCGTATAATTTCAAAGAAAAATAATTAAAAAGATATGACTTTAAAATGGTTTTCTTCGTTTCCTATCACAGTGCAAGGCAAGGAGCTCCAAGGTTTAACAGAGACAGGCGTTCCAGTAAAGTCTACGCCCTTCGAGAAACTTCGAGACGCGGCCATAGAGAACCTTTGCGTGGCGCTTGAAGCGGCTTTAACTGTGGACCAGTTCTGTGTACCGGCGCTGGTCGGATCTGTCAGCAATAGGCTGTTCACCGCTGAAACTAGCGACAGGTAAGTCTTCGATTCTTATGTAGTTCTAATAAGGTGCTATTTTGCATCAAACATGTTAGTCAGATGAGGCTATAGAGAACCTTTGCGTGGCGCTTGAAGCGGCTTTAACTGTGGACCAGTTCTGTGTACCAGCGCTGATCGGATCTGTCAGCAATAGGCTGTTCACCGCTGAAACTAGCGATAGGTATGCACTTATGCAAGTTAACTGCAAGATATCTCTATCCTACGTCTAAAACAGTTTATTTCTTTTATTATCTAGTTCCCAAGAGACAGGATTACCTAGTTTGGGAACTACCAGTAACCTTAAGTTGTTGTTGTAATTTTTTCTGTAAATAAATTATTATTTTTTTTGATTTAAACAGGAATTTCTTTAAATAAATCTCACTAGAAAATCAGCCATTACAATTTATCAAAGTTTAATACAGTAAAAATTAATTTCAAACATGGTCAATTTCTGTTTTGCAGTGAGTCGTCACTAATAAGCACCAACATAGTCATCATGTTGGGACATGTCGCAGTCGCCTTGAAAGACACGCCGAAGACTACGGATACGATCCTGCAATTCTTCCAGCAAAGGTAAAAACTGATTTATAATTCTTTCAAAGATCGACTAGTAGATAATGCTTTTAGTATGCAGACCACCTTTTGTATCCATTTTGTGCAATAAAGTTTTTAAATAAATAAACTCATACTAAAAATTTATTTGCTCCTTACAAAATATTCCACCGTTCCACAATATTACAGTTAGTAATCGACTCTTTGTGGCCAAGTAATTAACTAGCGGCTGCCCGCGAATTCGTACGCGTGGATCCCGTTTTGCTCTTGGGGGTTGACTTTGCAAAATCCTGTATTATTGAGCGCGTTCTAAAAGGAACCACCATGAAAAATTCGAGACTCCTAGCACTTGTAGTTTCTGATATTTCGTGATGAATGAGTGATACATTAAAATTTCGCTTTTATACATAAAGATTATTATAATTAGTGTGACTGTAAAGCATGACCATAGTCTCTCAAGTCAAAGAACTTAAACTAAGAGCATAAATAAATCTATCCTACTCAGCTTTTTTTACAGGCTCTGCCGGTCGCCGTCATCCCTAGACACCCTGATAGTAGACCAGTTAGGCTGCATGGCGCTGGCCAGCCCAGAAGGGCCCGCCCATGATGAGATCATGCGGATGTTCACCGTCATCACGGTAGAGGCAGCCAGCGCTGCCTACCACCACACCGACGATAGGAAACAGTACAGGTGAGATGTTGGAAATTAATCATAGGTTCTATGTCGCTATACAGTGTGAGTCACGTTAAAGTGTACATATGAAAATAGATGAAACTAGACCTATATTTATCGACAAAAAAGAGGTCAAAAAATTTTTGAGATTTTTTTTTTATTTTTTATAGATTTTTTTTCTTCCAATTACTGATTGTAAAGAAAACGTAATAACTTTTAAACTAAGCGGTATATCCTGATAAAATAAAAACAGTAATAATGCTAAATAACTGGAGATACTAAAAAAATACATAAAATACACAAAAAATGCCAACAAATAATAAAAAATGATACTTTTTGAAAAAAATCTGCTTTTAAATTCGTGTTTTTTTGGTTATTTGATAAATTTTTTTCAAAAAATGCCCCTATAAAAGGTGTTTTTTATTACTTTGTATTATTCTCTATCGTATTATCTTTGTAAAACCAAAAATCGCATGTCTCTATCCCTATCACAACATTTGCTATGATCGTTTGAACAAAGGCCTGCCACAACATTATTGTCCGCTACAGGTAGAGACAATTTTAATTTTAACTAAAATGCTTATTTTACTTCGAAATCTTTTGATTTTATTTGAAATCTAACTTGTCTTTATCAAAATTACAAATCTAGAGCCATTTTCAGTTTCGTTGTTAACGAAGCTTTGAGTGGGGCGCCCGGAGAGGCTTAGTTCAAACGATCATTGCAAACGTTGTGATAGGGATAGAGACATGCGATTTTTGGTTTTACGAAGGTAATACGATAGAGAATAATACAAAGTAATAAAAACTACCGGTTATAGGGGCATTTTTTGGAGAAATTTATCAAATAACCAAAAAAACACGAATTTAAAAGAATTTTTTTTTTCAAAAAGTATCATTTTTTATTATTTGTTGGCCTTTTTTGTGTATTTTATGTATTTTTTTAGTATTGCCTATTATTTTGCATTATTACTGTTTTTATTTTATCAGGATATACCGCTTACTTTAAAAGTTATTACGTTTTCTTTACAATCAGTAATTGGAAGAAAAAAAAATCTATAAAAAATTTAAAAAAAATCTCAAAAATTTTTTGACCTCTTTTTTGTCGATAAAAATAGGTCTAGTTTAATCTATTTTCATATGTACACTTTAACGTGACTCACACTGTATACCTAAGGCGTTTCCGGACAGATACGACCTGCAAGCTTTCAAGAGGAGAGCGTATCTTCACCTTAAAGGCCGGCAACGCATCTGTAACGCCCCTGGGCCTGCGGGTGTCTATGGGCGACGGTAATCACTTACCATCAGGTGATCCGTCTGGTCGTTTGCCTCCTGTCACATAAAGAAAAAGGCCCGTTTCCACCAAAGCGGAGCGGAGACGAGGATAGGAGGTGTGTGTTGTGCGTAGCTGCCAGTCTAGTGCTGTCTACGAATCGTATGATTGCTATATTACAACAAAAATGTTAGCCGATGCCTTAGAAAACCGTTGCGCTTGAAGCGGCTTTAACTGTGGACCTGTTCTGTGTACCAGCGCTGGTTGAATCTATCAGTAATAGGCCTTTCACCGCTGAGACTAGCGATATGAAACAGTACAGGTGAGATGCTGGAAATTAATCCAAGGTTCTACGTCCCTATACTACGTGTACCCTGGTCCACTAGTGGACTAACTGGGCTGCAAGGCGCTGGCCAGCCCAGGAGGGCCCGCCCATGATGAGATCATGCGGATGTTCATATCCACACACTAGGTATTTTACAGTACTAGGCGGCACCTATTCCAATTTTTTAAATACTTGATCCACCTAGTATTTTATAAATTACACGATTTCCGACCCTACCATCAAAGTAATAGAGGTTATTATTGCGTAATCCGTAGTCGTGTATTACGCGCACCTAGTATTTCTCGCTAAGCTTATGTGCGAACGTAGAGATTCACTCCGTCTCTGTCTGACCAAACAAATTTGAGCGCGACGAAGCAAACGCACACAAACGTAGTCAAACCATATTCATGTAAATAAGAAAAAATATGG